TTAACAGGACTGGAAGCCTTCTCAATTAATCTTTTTCCTCTCTGACCAGCCATCTTGAAATGCAAGAGCTAGATAAACACAAGTTAAAAAACCGAAATCAAGTTGAGTAAAAATTGTACAAATTGTTGATTGTTCAAAATTGTTACAGACTTGAGAGCAAGCGGCTTTCAGAGAGCGGCGATCTCAGCGGCTTAGGTGTTCAAGGGAAGAGCTCGGTTAGGAAGAGGTAGGCGCAAGAACAAAGACTTATTGTCCCGCGTGGGCCAGGGCGTGGGCGTTACCCTCGCGGCAACCCTTTACTGACTCTACAAGTCCGCGTTATTTAAAAATGAAAACACTTTCACTTGTTTGGCTTGTTCATTCAATTTGCACTCTCTTTAACTGACTTCACTGAACTGAACTGAAATTCGGTTATTCTCTGGCACGGATCATAAAAAAATGCGAAAAGAGTTCCGAAAACGGCACAGTAAAAAGTTTAAAATTTAGAAATTTAGGACCACGAGCACGAGCGTCCGCTCTCGACCTCGCTCTCCTCCACCTCCGCTCTTCTCCACCTCGGTAGGTACTGCAGTGAAATGTAAGGCACTTAAATGCGCTCAACAATGTCGCGGTTTCAATACGTTGCCAAAGCTCAGAAAATTTCAGTGACGTTACTATGGAGAAATCTGCGTACACATCTAAGGGTGAAGAGCCAATGTAAGAGAGAAGAATGTTGTGGCAACTGGTGCCGAGACCAGCCTTGAAATGGGGGATCTTGAGGCAACCGGTGCCGAGACCAGCCTTGGAATGGGGGATGTTGTAGCAGCTGGTGTCCTCAGTGGGGACTTCTGACGCGTGTCTGTGCTCGTCAGAAGTCCTATGGGATTTCGCGCTCGTAGGGGGATTGTTCCTGAGCGCCCCACTGCTGAGCTCGCGGTGTCTGACTGCAGGTCTCAGTTGTGAAGTTAAGTTATCATGTGGGGAAGGATTCCTCATATTAAGTTATTATGTAGGTAGGATTCTTTACATCAAGTTATTCTGTAGGTCGGATTCCTTACATTTCCCTTCTCTGTCTCTCTCGTGCGGGCGGCTGACGTCCCGTGTAAGCGACCTCTTGTTCGAGTGTCTTCGTTTCTGTTGCTTTTCACCTGTCCCTTCTTGTCACTTCGTCTCTTTAAGATGCTAACGCTGCTTCTTTCGAGCCAACTTCAGTGGGCTGGACAATTGAGACCTTCCAACCCTTGAGGGTGATGACCAATTTTTGATTCGAGAATCTTTCGATAACTGAGACCTTCCACCTCTTTGGTGATGTTCATCTTGACTTCCGGTGCGAGATAGCTGCATAAATAGCTGAAGCGCTAGTAAACATGTGGCCACTAAACTAACTAACTACTAGCTGGTTCCGTGACCCACCTTAGAATGGGGGATGTTGTGGCAGCTGGCACAAACACGTTGATGGAAAGGAATAGCTTTCTTGCTATCAAGCATCTTGATGAGTTCCGCTTTGGTCTCTTCCGCTTTGGTCTCGGGAGGAGAGGAACTTTCTTCCACCTCGAAGATCGAGAACACGAACACCCGCGGCTGAGTCGTGTTAGAGACGTCGGGCTTCTTGAGCATTTTGAAAAATTCTGCACGGTAAATTTTTAATGACTTTCCTGAAGCAAATAATTGACAGTAAACAAGGTGAAAAATTTAACGAATAGGAAGTCAATAAACAATTTAGCACCTCTAGGAGTCAATTAATTATGCGATTCTGTATAATTAAATGAAATTGCAATATCAGAAAATGGAACTCAAAATACGTGGATAATGAAGGCAGTGACACAATTAGCGCAGAAGCTATAAGTCCTCAGACCTAAAAATACTGAATCGTAATTAACTTAATGTAAAGATAATGGATTTTTTGACTATTTCATTGGAAATAAAGCTTGTATGAAGTAGATTGAAGTTATTAAATAATATAATTCTTTGTCAAAATTGGTACACGATTTATTATGATGTATCACCTAGCAGGTTAGAGTAAAATGTTGACCTGGTATAAAATTAACGGAAGGGTAGAGTTCGACGTCTGACGGGAAGACAAAGTACGTCGACGCCATTCTTCTGGCAACGTTCCTGGCGACGTTGACGGGGTAGAGGAGCTTCTTCTGTTGCCGGTACGTGGTGACGTTAGACCACTTGGGAGGCTCGACGCTGCAGTCCATCTTGCGACCCAACAACTCCTCTGTCGTCGGGATCTGAAAATATTAAATATATTTACTTTTTATATTTTAAAATCAAATATTTTTTAGATTTAAAAATGTATATTAAAATTTTCAATTATGTGTTGATTTTTCACATCACTAATGCCTTTTTCAGAACCACCATATAAGATCTATTCTTTGTAATGAAAATTCAGTCTAAATTTCCGTACTAGAAACCTTCTTGCACATCTACCTCATCCAGTAATGAGCATTCATGCAGAACCGTGCGACGTATCGGGCTCCGAAAGATTCTATAATTCTACCTCCTCATCTGTTGCTGTCCTGCCAAGGATTTTGAAATTTCTGTATATTTATAACCGAAACCCTTGCTTAATAACTTTCATGGCTTTTATCCGCATGGAATTAATCAATAATCATTGATATTTTTTTCGCGTTTCAATCCATTTAAATAGTTAATTTCGTGAATAGTCAATTTCGGCATAAATTTAGACGGAAACCAAATATTTTTACATTGTAAATGAATCAACTTTTTAGCGTTTTCCATGCTAGTAGATTGGAAGTTCATATGCGATTTTAGCAATCAGGTGAAATAATGCACGAGTTTTATTTTTTAGGTGCATGCATGGTTAACTCCTCACAAAGTTGCGAACAAATCACATCATACCACCGGACAGCAGCGATGCCGATTTATCTCGACCAAAATAAATGACATTCACAATAAAGCTCGAGTTTACCAAGCGAAGAAATGCTGTTTATAATCCGATGCCATGCTCCCGCGATGCCGGGTAGTGTCCTTGATACCAGTAATTAAGTGTCCTTGATATTTCGAGTTGAGTTTACTTTGGGTTTTATTTAGGTTGCACTTGAGCTGAACGTTGTCTCAGGCTGCCACCAAGTCCCAATTTGCATCACTGATACAAACCGTTGTCATATATACTCCCATTGTATCAAAGAAAAAATGCACTGAGACTGATCAAAAACAACAGCAAACATTATTTATTTGTAATCAAGGTTTTTAAAACTTCTAATACATTTAGTTTTTAAAAAGCGTTTTTCTACTTCACAAGCTCTAGAATTATTAGCGATGTCAACTGTTTGTGGACGGGTAAGCGATAAATCGGCGGCGGAGCTCGATCGATTTATACAGAGGTTGCTGGAGCTGAAGGGACACAATAATGTTAAGCTCGTGTCATCCTCGTGAAAATCATTCAACGTACTCATGATATATTGAACGAAATATCGAGACAATTAGAGTTCATCTATCACTATCAATGCCGTAGGTAACTTGCCACAGTTGCAGCATGCGCTTGCCTGCTTATAGAGCGTCGGAGATTTAGTAACATCGTTGTAAAATTATCAGTCATAAATTCATGTCAATTCATTGACGTTTTTGAATTTATTGTTTCAAATGTGAACGATTTCCGTTACTTGGATATTATACTCGAATGTATATTTTGCTCATGCTCACCACATGATAGCAGGTGTTGGTCGCCATGAGGTTGGGCTTTATTCATTTTTGGCTGCGTTAAAAACAGATGTTTTTGTCGAATGCCAACATTCATGGTTGGAATTTACAATATTTTATACTTGAAAAATAAACTTCCGCCTTTTATTGTGTCGAAAACAGTATCAAGAATTATATACATTATTTATTTATTTTTATTTTTCATTTATTCGTGTATTAAAATAAATTCTTATAAAACTTTGCAGCGACATGCAAGGTAAATCAAAATTTATTGAGAACATGAAGAATAAATTCCTAATCTTTTGCTGATTCAACCAGAACGTGGACTGAGTTTGGTGATAGTGAAGCAACAATGAATGCGTGTGAAGGCCAAGTAGAATATTTCACCGACGAGGAAAAGAGAACTGAAAAAGCGAAAGGCAATCACTGACTTGGAACAATGTTTGCTACACTTCACATACTTTACTTTCAACATTGCGTTGCATAATGCATGGTGGTTTTCAACAATCAACATTAAATTAATTTTTAATCACATTAAATTTATTTTTAATCCACAATATATTGATTATTAATCCACTTTAGATTGACTATTAATCAGCTCTGCAAAAATCCAGCTTGATCGTCAGGCAACGTCTTACATCCCGACCGTTAGTTTCGATTTCCAATTTTCTACAGAAGAAATACTGTTTTAATATCCTTAATGCATAGTAGGTTTCGGATGCCGTAGGAAACACACTCATCATTAAAAACACAAGTAAAACAGGAGATTATATCGTGCAAATAAACTAATCATGACCATTATCCACCAACATCATCTGCCCGCAACAATTCCCAGCCAGGAGCGGCTAATTAACCTTCAAGTGCGACCGAGCAGCCCTCAAGGTCACATAAAAAAATAGATACGAAGAAATTAAACTGCCACGGTCACCGCACTCGACGACCTGCGAGGCGAAGCAGGTTCTTGAGAACACTCAGAGAAATAAATGGGTCATATCAGTGCTGGCGTCAGTCATATCAGTGCTGGTGTTATCAGTGCTGGTGTCAGTCATATCAGTGCTGATGTCAGTCATATCAGTGCTGGTGTCAGTTATATCAGTGCTGGTGTCAGTCATATCAGTGCTGGTGTCAGTCATATCAGTGCTGGTGTCAGTCATATCAGTGTTGGTGTCAGTCATATCAGTGCTGGTGTCAGTCATATCAGGTAGCTGCTCCAGTGCTTTTCCCAAATTTCCCTCACTCAGAGAAATTAACAAAACTTTGTCCAAAATGCGATGCAACATTTGCCTTATAGAATGGGTAATTTTGACCCTGTTCGACCCGAGGGCGTATCACAGCTCTCTGCAGAAAGTACATCACGCGCTCCATTGGTTTTCAACAATCAACATTAAATTACTTTTTAATCACATTAAATTGACTTTTAATCCACAATATATTGATTATGAAGCCGATTTCAACAGCAAGCTTAGAAGTCTCGCTCATGATGGTAGCGGCGACCTGAAGCAACGCGCTATCTGTTGTGGTCTCCGCCAGGGCGCCGCAAGACAATGTCAGGGCCGAGGCATTTAAATGGCAGGGCACCGCAAGTGACAGTGCGACGCAGTCTCAATGCAGGATACACTCGCATAAATGAACGGCTCATACATTAAAACCTATAATAATAGTAAAATAATATTAATGATAATAATTTAATAATAATAATGGCAATAATTATAATATAACATATTCAAAGCTAATCATAATGGTAAAACATTTTTTTATCGGCAACACGTGCAAAGAGCGGGCATAATACAGATATCAGTGCTCAGATATCATTTTTACCTTGGGTCAGGTTGACTCACGCAAAGGCAAACAGTTCACCGCTATTGGAACAAAGTCCCAGTAATTTCTCTGAGAGAACATTTGGGTTCAATTGAGCGCTCTACCTATGCAGAGTAACACCAGGATTGCTATAACATGTAAACTAAATAGATTAATTCGTGTATATACGAACCTTTTTGGGGATGTGGTCGGTGTGATAAATTAGGTGGAAAGTAACAAATTTCTTGATGCCCTCCGCCCAGCAGTCTCTGAGGTACAGGATGGTCGATATGGTCACTTCGAAGTCGTTCCCAGGAGCGTATACGCTGATGCTCACTGGCCCCTGTACGCAGAAAATATAACATCATGCTATTCATTAGTTTACTTTTGAATGTTTTTTAATTGTTTTTTCTTTCAAGACCAAACATTTGTTCGGTCTTGAATATGACACTTGATCACTACAAAATATTAAGTCGCTTCGGTATTCGGATGAGGCGGTAGAGTTATAAAGAACAAAATTGGTGCAATGAGTGAAGGGTTTGATACCAGCAGCTGGCTGTAAAATTCTTGCCGAAATAGGCGAGGTGGCTGGGTGGTCAAAATTCTGTGATCTAAGAAATCAGCGGCAGGTGAAATACGGCTTTGTTTTTAGCCCATATTTTTCATATATATTCGGTTCAGTAAACAAATATGACATTTAAAGTAAACACAGAAAACATTTAAACGTAGGAGATCGGGGACTATACAAATTCCAGAAAATGGCGTAAAAAATAATAAGGAAACAGGCACTCTTCAATAATATGCACGTATATCATCAATATCATAAAAAATATAACTCAGTACTCACTGCAGTGAGTGACAGAGAGCGCATTTTCTCGTCGACGAAAACGTGAAGTCACGGACGGACAAACAGACAGACAGACAGACGGACGGACAGACGGACGGAAAGACGGACATGGCCAGCACAATAGCACCTTTTTTTCCATAAATGAGAAAATGTGCTAAAAAGCATTTAAAAACAGTGGAATATTTGCCCATAATAAAACTCAGGATATCTAAGCTTAACTACAAAGAAACGGCATCAAATTGACATCCACTTGCAACGCTTTCGTTAGTTGGCCCACAGAAGCCACAAACTCGGAAATTTACAACTCTTCAGAAACAGGTAAACGGATATTTTATTTCAAATTATGTTGTTAAATGCTGAACGCCAGTTTGTTCCCAATGTATAAGGCGCAGGTCTCGCTATTGTTCGTCAGTCGTCGAACAGCTCTAACGGTGTTAGCTATAGGCAGTTCACCCGACAAAACTCCGTGTTTTTTTTTCAGTGCGAATTTTTTTTTGCAACGAGGTTTTGCCCAGCGTTGTTCCTTAATGACTTTCCTGAGGCGCACCGTTCTTCGTATCAAAGATTTTTTCAGCGGTCGTTGTGGTTAAATAGCGCGAGCTACTTATATATAGCTCCCTAATAAATCTGATATAATAAATATAAATCAGCGTCATGGCAGCATCGATCCACATTTGCCAGTGCTTCTTGATCGATGAAAATAAATTATTGGTATTTATGAGCAGAAAGTATCTAGAGAAAGTTAATAGTTTCCGCTAAGAAACATATGCCATAGAATCTTAGGAAACGCCTCGCCCCCGATCACTTATTAGGCCGAGCAAAATATCAAACTACAATAATGTATTTTCTACGCAATTAACAATTAGACGAGTCTAAGGTAGCTGGATCAGTTCATGATAAGAATATTTATACTGGACTATTGCTCAACAATTGACCTCTTGTTCTTCGTCATATTGCAACATACTTAAATAAATATTTATTTTAACGGAACACAATGATAATACCGCCGACGAAAATCCGCAGCAGTTTTGTTGAAGAATGCTGTTGGAAGAGGGAAATGTATGTTATTCATCCATTCTTGTTTTAAATAGCGTAACGAATTTCAATGCAATGAATGGGCTGTAAATCCACAAACTGAAATTTAGAGATCGAAAACTCCGTATTAAATTATTATGATAAGTACTCTTTTCTTGATATCTCTCAAATTATGATCACGATGAATCCTCTTAGCATGATGAAGTCTCTCTTAAATTCAAGCAGGGGAATGAAATAAGGATATAATCAGCAAAAATTCAATAAGTTAGGTTTAATAACGATAGATTGCTTAATACTCATCAACTCATTTGCTGAAGCAAGTCGGCTGGCCAATAAAAACAATCGCATCGAAAAAATAAATATTCATTGGTAATTCTCCTATGTTAACATTCAAAACTAACGGTGCCAGACTAACAGTTTTATGGTTATATTATGGCGTTCCGATCCAATTGGCATAACGAAAAAATTAGTGAAAATATCTATCACTCGCATTAAGTTACAATATAATCATTGCATTCTTAATTAATTGAAATTCAGTCTTAACTTACATTAAACACCGCGTTTGACTCTGGGTTCTATTTATAGATAATTATATTGTTGTGTTACCTTTATTTTCGGTATTCATTATACGGCAAATACAGCAGGACAGCAGCGAGCACTTAATTGCACGACAACGTTATGAATTTAGTGTGATATTTGCCATAACGTACTATTTGTGTGATGTAATATTTAGAGTGGACACATCATACATGCATTATGAGTATGATAAGAGTTATTATTCACATCAAATGAGGGATATAGCATATAGGTTCATAAAGTCAGAGAAATATAAATAGTATATTAGTATAGTACACAAAAATTATATATTTAAATGTATTTAAATATAAAAAATATATTTAAATTATAATTTATTTACTATATTAAATTTAATTTATCTACTTTTTTAAATGTATTTTTATTTTATTCTTATTATTTTTATATATTTCAAATTTATAATTATATACATTTAAATTATCTATTTAAAGGTATTTAAATGCATATACACGCGAGAAAGAGGGAAATACGAGACAGCATAACAAGCGAGAAGACAGCCAATCATTCAGCGTAGGATCTTTAGACTTTAGAAATATTGGCTGAGAAAATATTGGCGTAGGTAACTTTCATCGATAAAAATAGTCTTAATTTAATGAGATATTAAATAAGAAACTGAATTCGAACAAACATAATTAACCGCCTAAAAGCAATGGCGTCCATAGCAAAACATGAAAAAATGTGGTAAATAAACTTATTTTCTAATTTCTAATAACGCGAGAAGATTGAGCCTTGTGTAGAGAACGCCTACACAGCGTGTATCTTAGCCTCCACGAGCAGGCAGCTGACTATGTATTGTATACAATACTATACATTGTTCTCAATTGTGAAGCTGACTACACTGAGGAGACTGACAAGCATACTGAGTGTCCAGGGCAGAACCAGACTCAGATGACGCAACACTGCGGGAGAGTTGAGACAGCTCACATCAGGCATGGATTTCTACTCGGTTAATGTAGCGGTTAGAAATGCATTGTTTAGGATAATGCTTGCTTAATGTAACATTTAATGTAACAAATTCTGCGTACTATCCCAAAAATTTACGCTCTTCATATATGCATAAATGAGTGTATGCGTAAATGACTTTCTCTACTCATGATATATATTGACATTCCAGCATATATTCACGATCCTATATGCAAAGGGAACATAAAAAACTCCCGTTCCTCATATAGATGAAATGCGAAGAAAGGATATAATTATAAGATTCAAGATAATATTAAGGTAACGACCGTACATATCACTTGTGAGACGCCCGAAACTGAAACTGGAGAACATGCATCTATTTTTCTGGGAACCCGATCATAAAAAGACGTGTAATAATAGAGCTTATATCTAAAGCTTCATATTTGATAAGCGATGTGAAGTCGTTGATACAAAAGAACGCTGAGCAAACGCTCAGAGATCCCGAGTGATGTGAAACGCTCAGTAAATGCTATAAATGTTTTAGAGCGATATGAAACGCCAGTAAATGAGTAAATGCTCTAAATGTCTTAGTGCGATATGAAACGCCAGTGAATGAGTAAATGCTCTAAATGTCTTAGTGCGATATGAAACGCCAGTAAATGCTCTAAATGTCGTAGAGCGATATGAAACGCCAGTAAATGCTCTAAATGTCGTAGAGCGATATGAAACGCCAGTAAATGCTCTAAATGTCGTAGAGCGATATTAAATGTCTGCAGATTAAACGCTTAGCTTTTATAGTGCGACGTGAAATGGAAAATTAACGCTCTCACACTCAGGGAAATGAGAATATGTCAAAATAGAGATGCACTCTTTGCATTTGTGCGGGTCATCCTGACACAAGTTTAGCTGGCAAAAGGGGGTATCGGTGCTGCGTACGAAAGTAAGACACTATTTGGACGATATGATACATTCATTTATACGAGTGCAGAGCCTAAACGTGCAGTGGCAGTGAAGACTCAGGAAATGCATCCCATATCTCAATATTGCATGATCGCTGATCACTCAGTTGATATTTCGTCGTTAAGGTAGCACATGTAGCATCCTAAGCAAACACTCAGACAAATGAATAGGTCACATCGTCTCAATAGTAACACACATTCTGCGTTTCTGCAACACAGGTAAGCGTTTTTCGCCGCATCAAACACGGGCCGGATGACCCACTCAAGGGCAAAAAGTGAATAGGTATGTGGATATAGTCTCACTCATTTATCTGAGGCAATACACTTTCCCTTCGTAAAGCCCAAACCGTCACCGACTTTCATGAACGTGCATTGAATGCATTTGAGTAAATTAGGCACGTCTCTTTAATTTTAATGTCAAAATTCCAAGGATATGGAGAGTAGGTATCGCAAAGCAGTCTTCTGTTACAAAGATTAGGCATCACAGTCACCTGACAGTATTTCCAAGAGACCGTCGTCTTCTCGATGCATACTGAAGTAAGTTTGTTATCTGATAATCTTTCGTCATTCACTGGTGTTAAAATCTGATTCGTCGCTAACGCAGAAATGCTGAACCATTTGATCGCAGTTGAGCCCAGCGTTATTTAATTAACATTTTCAATTTACATGACTAAGGCTAAGCGTTGTTAGCCAATGGCTAAGCGTTGTTAGTGCTTGGGGGGCAATGCAGACTTTTAGGCATGCGCACATTCAGCCATGCGCACATTCAGCCATGCGCACATTTAGCCATGCGCACATTCAGCCATGCGCACATTCAGCCATGCGCACATTCAGCCATGCACCCATTCAGCCATGAAGACATTGCATGAGCCATGTGTTCATTAGAGCCCACGTGGTTTAGTCATTCATATGGTCATTTGGCCAAGCAAACATTTGGCCAAGCAAACATTTAACCAAGCAAGATTTTTCCGTTCGAGCCAAAAGTGCGGGTATACCGACATTTGGCAACGAGGTCATTTGCTCACGTTGACAAGGGACCATGACAGCATTTGCAAAAGCTGGTAATGTAAAAATTTTGCCACAGAGAAATTATCCAAGTGTAGATTTGGCATCACCACATGTGACTTCGCTATTGGCCACATTGGCCTTGGGTAATTTTGGCCATTTGGGGGTGGGTCGGCAAATGTTCACGGGTAGATGGTGAACATTTTACAAATCAATGATTGATACATGCGGTTCTTATCGGCCGGCAGTTTCGATGAGAACCCGATATGAGATGAGCAAATGTAGATAATTCGTCTATCAGACGAGAGCCAGCACCCATACGTATACAGCTCACACAGAAAACGCTACGTCAAAAGTTGTGCGGATAAAACTTAAAAACATCAGGCTTATAAAAAAATTTAACTGTCAAGGCCCCGCAAAAGGGCTTTGCAGTGCTAGGTCCACCCTCTTTACGTGATGTGTGTACAATATGACCCATTCATTTTCTGAGTGTAAAAGCTCCATTTAAATTGAACATGCATAGTATAAGACACGGATATGAAGTTAAACGTTAATGGCGCGTCATGTGAAACAACTCCATTTAATTTATTGATGTATAAGTTAAACATGCATAGTATAGGGCACTGATATCAAGTTGAACGTTAATGCCGTGTAATGGTTCTCACCTGCCACCTGGAGGTGAGTGTCTCTAGGTTGTCGAGGAAGGTGTAGTCCCCGTGGGTGGTGTACGTGATGGACTCATCACACCGGAAGGGCAAGGCAGCAGGGATGTAGTTCTCAAGGATCCAAAACTCGCCGTGCTGACTGTGGAACGGCACTAGGGGACGAGATGCACAACCCCGGAAGTCAGGATACATTTTTTTCTCCAAGGAATCAGGTGGAGGGTCAGGGGCATCGGTAGGGATGACGAGTGCATGCAATTGTTCGGTGACGCCTTGGCTTTCCTGCACCTCGCGAGGAGGTTCTTTAAACTGAGGGTCGTAATAAGGGTTCATCTTGAGTTGACTTTCTCTTTCGGCTAAAGCAATATTAGCCTTCTCGATAGCTGACTCCTCTTTAGAGCCTTTAGTTTTACCATCTAGCAGCATGTCATTTTTGTCAGGATCTCCAATATCCTCCCTAGTGGCTTGGTCATCTCTTATCACATCAACATTTCCAGTGCCTGAATCTTTTATAGAGGCGCTCGAAAGTTTGTCTTCATTGTGTCGCAAAACCTCAAGTGGGACTTCATTTCTTTTGGAATCATAAGGGGGACTGTACAGAGGGGAGCGACCACTAACCTGCTCTACAATGGCTTCGAGGGAGCGATAGTGAGACTGCGATGGAGGGGAATTGGGAGTGCGGTGTTCACTAACAGACAGCCATGTTATGCAGAGGTAAGTAAGCACCAACATGTTCACCAACAACGACCCTCGGATCAGCATAATCCGTAGCGACGCCATCTTCAGCCACAGCCTCTTCACTGCACCTGCATTAAGAAAAAAATATATTGTAACAGCCATTGAATTGGGATAATATTAACAATAGAAACAAATTTTTGGAATATTCATTCATTAGCAATTCCAAACATTTCTCATAAAACTCAAATAATAATATAATCAATAATTATTTTTGTTGCAAACGATTGATAAGTAAGAATATAAATTAAAGCTCACGACATTATTTCCTTTACAAACAATGAAGAAATAATCACAAGGATTAATCATGAGTCGGAATTCATAGATAGGAGCTGCTGTAAAAAGCAGCTTTCCAGGCCTAGTTTTCAGGGCTAAGAAAAGCCGGTCGAGTGCTCTGGATCACAGCGAAGGCATCCAACCCACGAAGTAAAGACTTGACTCTTGTCGAGCAATTCTGTTTAATTTGGTTAATAAAAATTCGTACAATCGTGTCATACGTAACGGAATAAAACTTTCTCTTTTGTCACAGAGACATCAAAAATAGGCCTGAGACAAAATTCTTCACCTCTAATCTCCTAGAAAACATAAAATGGATAAAAATTCTAAGGTCACAAAAAAATGCGTCACAAACACTAGTAAATAGCATGTACAACAGTTAATATCTCTTCTATTGAAAGCAGTAATGTACATTGCACACTTCGCTTGCAATCATCACTGCCGTAGTTAAGACAAAACAAGCGTCGTGTAGTGGAATAAAAGCAACACAAAATGTTAATACGAAGGAATTCGTTGCTTAGCCAAACTCAACGAAGTTATGGTCACTTGCGGTAAGGCGATATGGCCACCGCTATTCACAACATTAACAAACACGAGCTACGAATTACCGAGAATTTAACAAAATTATTATAAATCACGCCAGTTTTTTTCAAAGTTACCCCGCCACGAAAAATGAATAACCACTCAAAAAAAAACACGATTAATGCCGTATGTGAACGTATATGTTACCAACTTCACCACGATCACCACAATTCGTTCATGATTGTCACGATTGCCAAATTTCGTACACATTGCTGCAATTCGTTCACGATTGCTACAATTCCTTCACGATTGTCGCACACTTCCTACACGATCGTCGCACACTTCGTTCAATATTGCCACACTTCGTACACGATTGACACAATTCATTCACGATTGACACAATTCATTCACGATTGACACAATTCGTTCACGATTGACACACTGCGTTCACGATTGACACTGCGTTCACGATTGACACAATTCGTTCACGATTGACACAATTCCCGATTGACAATTCGTTCACGATTGCCACAATTCGTTCACGATTGACACACAGCGTTCACGATTGACACAATTCGTTCACGATTGACACAATTCTTTCACGATTGACACAATTCGTACACGGTTGACATCAGCAGCCTTCATCATGCGCCGGCACGCAGCACTTGCCAGCGCGACGCGCCCCACATGAATGGCTCCAGACGCTGGCTGCAGCCACTGATAAGGTTCCCTTCAATTTTCGCAAATCATAGATGTACGAAAGCCCTGCATTTACTAATAACGAACATTAAATATTATGTTCAACACTCAGTAATTGAATTAGTATGTACAAAATCTGTAACGAAAATACTAGTCGATTCTAGGTTATCGCAATTGTTTTTTCGTATAGGTTATATCAACAACTCACTGTACAGGTATTGGGCATACACACTCGAAAAACTCGACACCTATTGTTGTTACTTTGCTAGGTTTCAAACGAACGCTTATAAAAACCTCTTTAAACAAATAATATTTTTAAATCACCAGTGCTATCAATTAAGTCACTTTGAAAATAAAGAATTTTGGATTCTCGTCTAAAAGCAAAGAATTCTTAACTAACCTGAAAGAACTAAATTAAGATTGATGGGCAATGTAGTGTACATAACTAGTTGTCATTTTCTGTAGTATGATTTTCGACAAAAATTACAGTTTATTGAAATAAAAATCAATACGTTACAGTACATGGAACAACTAACAAGTGTCTGCAGTTGTACGGCTTGCCATCAAGTGTTGCAGAACTGCTTGTCAGGCCCGTTTTTCAACACTCAACGTTTTCAGGCTATATACACGCACTTAAGTGGAATAAAATTGTTACTGATATCAGAACATTCGGCAGGATTATGATGAACATTTGGACCATTTTGAATATACTTAAATTTATTATATGCACAAAATGTACATGTTAGATTTACATAATATACCCTTAAATCAAATTCACAGGCACGACAAAATAATTCACATCAAATACGAAATTTTAGCGACCCAACAATATGCTAACTTCTTTGTATAATTTACAAGTATATCTTAACTAACACAATAATCACAGTTAGAGACATTATCCTCAACTTATCTGTAGTTACGTAAAAACTAGCAATTGCAATAAATCCGAATATAATAGCGACAAATTTGAAAACGACTCCGGCGCAGTTTCCATGGAAACGCTAAGCAGATCGACCAGACGGTAGTTTGTGCAGCGCATTATATATATAGTGCAATAAGTCGCGACGCTTTCGTAGTCATGACAACGCCACGCACTTGATTATAGAAATAATCTACTGTGCATAAAATAATCGCTTCGTTAATTCAGCTTTCGTCCTCTACCACTCTCGCTAGGACGGGTGGGCTGAGTCTAGTGCAGTAATATCGGGGCAAATAATCGCCCCCTTCCTATAAAGTGAGTAAATATCAATCCATAAAGTCCATCAATACACGTTTTCAGTCATACATTTAGTATAAACAATAAGCCACGCCATTCATCTACAATGTGTTGCGTCTCCGGCACACCAATTAAAAATACTGCAAATAGTTCATCATTCTTTTGAACGCACGATAATGAATCTTGTGCAAAATTATATTGAAAAGAGCGAATCAACGGGCTTCAGGAGATACTTGAGGTTCAATCCATCTTAAATACCCAGAGCGTTCACACCAGCGTTAAGGTCAACGCCAACTCGAGACGACTTAGATTAGTTTGATACCAACGCTCCATTGGTAGGACAGGTTGGAAACACAATGGTGTGGTTATAATCAAACGACTTGAACGCAACAGCGTAACTGTAGTCAATTTGCCGCTGGCAGGTCCGGATCAAAGATGGTGACAACTTTTTATTTTATGTTATGGAATAGTTGGGAGGCAAAGATCCTATCACATTGTGTTCGTTGTGCATCACAATAAAATGAAATAAAGCATAATATTTACATATCTCGCTAACAAACGTCATAAAAAGTGTACATTGAATAAAAAGTGTAAAAGTAAACACACTGTAACCTAAAATGGTTAAGTAGCGCAGTAGGCAGAGGATGGTGCAGCCTGAGGCGAATTAGTGTTCTAAAATTATACATTTTCTACGCCATACATAATGTGATCCTTCACTTTATAGGCAGTATACTGTAGAAGCGCCATATATATATAAGACAAACCTTCTAGCGACAGTGAAATATCTTCGTAGTTAAAGTGTCGTATTTGAACACTGCAAATCGTACTTGTCCCCAGTATTATACGGTTCTTATTGGCAAGTCGCAATTTGATTGACGACCTATTAGTCACTTATGATTGGGATTTCTCGGCAGACTACAAAATTATTTTGAATTTCTCAACCGGTTTGCATGTCCCAGATTCAGCAGGATGGATTTCAGAGAGCTAATGACCGTAGGTTGACATGAACGAGCGAAAGCTTCAGCAAACATTGGGAGTTTCTTCTGATGTTTGCTGTGCCGCGTGGCCTGATCCACATGCACCGCGCATCATGGCCTCTGCCGCTCCAATGAGTGCCGACGGTGAAATAACGTTGATTAAACGTTCTTTAAACGCAATCTATTCGTAATCGGAGTTCTTTCAAGAAAATCAATTCGTAATTAACGTTCTTTTAACGAAATCAACTCGTAACCAAAGTTTTTATTTACGAAATCAACTCGTGATCAACGTTCTCTCAACGGAATCAACTCGTAATCGATCTTCTTTCGATGAAATCGACCCGCAATTAACGTTTTTCAACGAAATTAACTTTTAGTCAACGTTTCGACCTTAATGGCCCGAAGGAAAAATATAACATTTCAATAAAGTAAGTGCTAGTTTTGAGGCGGTGAAATACACTATTTTCGGTATCCTAACGCTAGATTTTTCCGATTTCTTATTTCTTGCGTATGGGCAACAGACTGGAATAACGCATTAAAAATGTTAAGGCTATAGAGGCTTCTAGGTTAATGGTTTTATATTTTCCTTAAAAAATTATTGATTGATCATTATTTACTAAATTACTCGTAGCCTAGCCCGGCGTTAGTCGGGAAGATAATAAAGTAGAAAATAATCGAGATAATAGCGGTGATTGGAGGATCCCGTCCTTATATAGTAATCCGCAGATGATGAGTAAAGTAACGTAACTTCAAGTATAACAGTTGAAACAACATCATAACATAACATCACAACAAGACTAACATTCAGATACAAATATTATACCTACTAGCATATTATAAAATGAACAATTGCTTAAAAAATTGCATTCTAGTTTACCTTCGTGCAAAGACCAAGTATCACGTTTCTGCAATGGTCATCTGGCTGGAGTGTAAGCCTCGCAGTGGAACATAGCCCAGCGTGCAACTGCAACCAAACCCACTCTCAGACCGGCAACCAGTCCCCCTGTCTCTTATACACATCTAGATGTGTATAAGAGACAGTTTAAATTGNATCACAACTAACAGCAGCAGCATCACAACTAACAGCAGCAGCATCACAACTAACAGCAGCAGCATCACAACAAGCAACAGCCAACGGCAAAGAAGTCCAGCCTGTACTGCGCTGTCAGCAGCTGTCGAGTCAGCAAAACTGAGTCGGGATTACTCACGTAACGTCAGCAAACCAGGGCACCTGTGCTGCCTGGTGCCCTAATCTCACCTGGCTTATGAGAGCACACCCATATAATTAATGGGTCATATTGTCATAATAACTAGGGACCCACTTTCTGCACGTAAAACTGATGAGCTTTTTTGCCGGCCGAACTGGCGCGGCTTCACTTAG